CTTAACCAATGATTCCTAATTGCATCTACTTCCGGAAGGCCAAATAAAGTGCTTTTGCTTTCGCACTGAAACACAGCATCTCCCTGACATGGCTGCATCAACACTACTGCTGTTCCTGAAACCACGCCTTCTTTCTTTGCGTGCACATTTGGGCAGCATTATGCTAATATTTCCACATAGTGATGTAGATATGTGGAGGCGTGTTAGAACAAGCCGTTTTAGGTAGGTATGGATGACTCTTAACTTTTATAAAGAATATCTCTTTGGATTTGAGACTTTAGTCTTTGCAACTTTACAGATCTTCTTTATGCACCAAGAGCTTGTAACACTCCAAAGAGAAAGGAAAACTTGAAATTGCATCATATGACCCCTTTAAAAATGTCAGCTTGATCTCACCTTCACAACCACGTGCTTCTGTTCTTCCTTCCGTCCTTCTCTCAAACACTTCATCATAATCAGACATTAGTGTGCATTCTTGCCCACATACACCTTACAGAATGTTCCTGAATGCCGTTCAGCGATGGGACATTGTGTGTTAACAGGCGTTCTTTGAAACTAGAAGGCATTTATGAGGCATCACTTGACATTAATGAAAGACTTATAAATAACATAATCTCCAAAACAGGGTATTTATTGGGCTGTGATTCTTGTAAAAATGGACTCCCATTGTGTGGCAGAGGGCAGGCCTGTCGAGGTGGACGGCACCGGCTTGAACGGTGAGCTCATGGTCGCGTGTTTGTGTGCGATCCAGCCTTTTTTTTTGTTAGTTTTTTATTTTATTTTAAATGTCTATAGTTTTTTATTTATTTTCAATTTGAGTTATTTTAGTACATTAAAAAAATATTTGAGTTAACATTAATTTCAAGTAACACATTTTTTATGGTTTTAGTTTTAGTTAACTGTAATAACTCTATTTCACTTCCTCTGTGACACAGTTGCTCATACAACTGTTTTGTCTTAGTTCAAGAAAACAGCGCTGCATCTGGCTACTTTGGAAAATCATGCTAAAATAGTGGAAAAATTACTGGACAAAGGTGCTGATATCAACTTTAAAGACAGGGTGAGATCAGTATATAAGTGTTGGTAAAGTGAATTCATTGTTGAAATTATGTTGTGATTGTACCGATTTGCTTTTGTTGCCCTCGGTTTAGCTGGACTGCAGGGCTGTACATTGGGCTTGCAGAGGTGGAAGTCTCTTAGCACTGAAAGTTCTTCAGGACAGGGGAGCTGGCATCAATGCCAGAGACAAAGTACTGCAAAATACTGAAAAGTATATAAAAATAAGCTGTATGTGTAGTATTAGAAAATCTTATAATTCTCTCCCATACAGCTGCTTAGCTCACCTTTGCATGTGGCCACACGGACAGGTCACAGTCATGTGGTCCAACATCTTCTAATCAGTGGAATCAATATTAATGCAAAAGATTGGGTAACAGATTAATAATTCATGAGGAAAACACAGTTGTACTCAACATGCCGATTATAATTCAATCAAAATATTTAAGAAGGTTTCCTTTTTTTAAAGGAAGGAGACACGGCACTGCATGATGCTGTCAGATTAAATCGGTATTAAAATTGTTAAACTCCTTATACTGGCAGGAGCCGATATGCAGATCAAGAATGCTGTAAGTACTACAGATTAGGATGAGAAAAAAATATTCATCTATTATAAAAAATTTGGAAACAGCTGGATATAAATAATTAATTTTCTTGTTTTTAGGAGGGCATTACGGCCACAGAACAGGTGAAGCAATGGCAGTTTGACACAAAGGAGACACTGGAGAAACTAGAACAGATGAGAGAGGTTGGTCTGGCCTGACAGACACATGGAGATGCATTGGATTCATTAGAGCATCTGTGAACAGGTGCACGGCTGGAGAACAACCCCACCTCTGTCTGAGTAACTATTTACTTTCTGTGTTAATTAGTGCTGAAAGGTGCCTGTCCTCACCAATTCATTAGTATACTGGATGAATGAGCTTTTATTAATCTATATAAAAATTAGGCTTATAATTTGTATTTTTTTCTGTATAAATAGCAGCATAGTAATAAATTGATCAGATCAGTATTGTAACGAAGGAGGCGTGACAACAGAGTGGGGATACATTTGCAGGCTTTATTAAAAGAGAGTGTGGTCGAAACAGGCAGGGTCCAGAAACGGCAAACAGTAACAGCAGAGACAAGGCAAAAGAGAATCAGTGTATCATTCGTTCATTCGTTTTTTTATTTAATATTGAAAGTAGAAAAATTCCAAAAAGTAGAATTTTTTTTTTCCAAAAAAACGAAAAACGAGAATTCAGCTTAAATTTTTGTTTTTCTTTCAGGGATAGAAAAATGAATAAATGGCTTGAATATTCGATTTCTACACGTGGGCCGGAATTAAACACCCCTTTCTGGTGATTGGTCAGCCGAAGATCAAACCGTGCTGTCATCAGTTCTTCTGCAGTTCCGTGCAGCAGAATAATAGTCCTCAGCTGCTGCAGGTGTACGGATTCTTAACACATTTATTGCAACTACATTTCATCTTTTTTCATCAAACAAACAGACCAATAAATAGCTCGACACAACTCATACTGAGTCAGAGTCTATCCAGGGCTTTCTTCTGTGTAGATATAAATTCTATTCTTTGCATCAGCTGGGCATGGCAGGGTATGATATGACAGTTGTCATAGTCTACTCTGCTCACTCAGTAAGTCTGTTTGTTTAATTAAGAAATTAATTAATGAATTATTTTCAAAATAAATATTTTTAACCCTAAGACAAAAAGGAAAGAATAATAAATTGGCTTGGGTATATATATATAGGCCTACAATGTACAAGAACTGTCATTCTGACTGACAACCGGAGAACAACAGATATTAAATAGCCTACTGTTAGAGTTTTATAATGTAGTATTGTGTTTTATTAAAATTTATTATAATTGATATCTCAAAAGGATATGCACTTGTGCGCGGCGTGAGCTGCTGCACACTGCAATGCAAGATTTTCATAATAACTTGCCATTTCGGTTTGTTTCTTACCAAACCCTCCGTATAAGCTACCTTCAGAATGCTTGGAATATAGGCCTAAAATTATTATTTTTTTTTTCCCAAAGTTTTAAAATTCCTTGTTTTATTGTTGTGATTATTGTTTTTATTTTATTTTATGTAAAGCACTTTGAATTACCATTGTGTATGAAATGTGCTATACAAATAAACTTGCCTTGCCTTGCCTACGTCACGAGATGCATAGGATATGCAGATATGCATCCGCTTCAAAAAAACAAACAAAAAAACCTAAAGTCACCATTCTCTGCCATTAAATTGGCAAGTGCGTGTGCACATTTTTTGTGTTATTAAGTAATAAGCCTTTAGAACAACATTAAAGGTGACATCATGAAAATCTGACTTTTCCAGGTTTTTAGTGCTATAATCAGGTCCCCGGTGCATCTACCAACCAAGGAAACGTGAAAAAGATTAACCCAGCAACTTTGTTTTGGTAAGCCTTTTTCTGCAAGCATCTGAGAAAACAAGCGAGTCTGATTTCGCTCCCTTGGTGACGTGGCAAAGGGATCTCATTATAATATTACCGCCCCTTAATCTGTAAGTTTCCACCCACAGTGCCGTTATTGTGTTTTCGCAAGCGACAACTGTGTACTAGTTCTAATGCCACGGCGAACGTTTGAGCAAAACATGCTAACTGTTCTGCCTTTGGCTGCACAGACGAGCACAGAACAGTTTAGAGTCCCAGCCTCAGATGAGACGAGAGCAGTGGATTTATTGATTAATTTAATGTATATTGCTGCTGCCACACAGATCTAAAATAAGCAATTTATTTCCCAGCTGCTTACCTTCACAGACATAACCGACTGTGTTTTGTAACTCACGTGTTTTTAACGTAAACGTTTGTGTGAATGAGAACTTAGTTTAGTACTCACATGCTGTGACAGCCGCTTTCTGTCCGTGTGCTTCGGATGTGTGCACTATATCAGAACCGTATATCAGAAATTTAAACTCATATGGTTTAAAACGCTTGATTTCAGCGCGATAAACATGATAATCAAAACCAAAACAGCTGTTTTTAGCAGGTCCGAGCTGTAATGGCGCAGCTCTATTTTGGAAAAAGGGGGCGGGGAACAGCAGCTCATGTGCATTTAAAGAGACAGGCCCAAAAAACAGCGTGTTTCTGCTTCCATTCAAAATAGGCATTTTCAAAATGATATAATAAATGATCTGTGGAGTATTTTGAGCTGAAACTTCACAGACACATTCTGGGGACACCAGAGACTTATATTACATATTGTAAAAAGGGGCATAATATGTCTCCTTTAAGGTGAGTAGTCACTTTTCACACAGTTTCAATAAATTGCGATGGGTTAAATAAACTCAATAAGCAGACAGACTTGACTACAGTCAAGCGCAGACCAGTATTGAAGTGCACAGGAAATATTCCCCATCGAGGGGAAATAACTTAATACTCTGTCATTTATAGTCGTATGGTAAAATTTATATTTTATTTGTGTAACGTTACGTTCAAAACTACAAAATGTCATGCCTTTGAAAAATAAAGAGAACAATGCGCTGCTTTAGCGCGTCTCGGTCTCCTTGAGCATCTTTCTGGCGCATGCCACAAACATGAACCACAGCTAATACTTGTCTTTTAAAAGGCTTCATTTAGATTATTCAACGTTAAATGCATCATATAAGTCACTTTGGATTAAATCACAGTAGGCCTACGTATCATGATAAAAAAAGCGACTTTACAGTCTGGAAATACTTTAGGCTATAGCTAATTATTTTGTGGATCCCCTATCACTTTAAGAACCGCTGGTCTACACAGAAGAAAGACCTGTCTAGACTCTGCCCCGGTACGAGTTGTGTCGAGCTATTCATTAGTGTGTTTGATGAAAAAAGATGAAATGTAGTTGCAATAAATGCGTTATGAATCCGTACAACTGCAGCAGCGGAGGACTATTATTCTGCTGCGTGAAACTGCGGAAGAACTGATGACGGCACGGTTTGATCTTCGGCTGACCAATCAGCAGAAAGCATTTTGACTAGCTTGTCTTTCTGAAATGAGAAATGCATGCACAACATTTAGTCTATTTGACTTCTGCATAACATATCTTTCATTTGAAACACATTTAACATGCTATAGTTTTGTCTATGGCTTACTGTGCCAGGACAGGCTCATTGCTGTGCATAGTTTCCTGATGCATCAGATGACAAGGCTTTGGGTGGAGGACACTGATATGCCCATGTGTGAGACATACGTCATCTGTGCTTATTACATAATCACAATCCGCCAGCCTGAAAGCAAACATTTGCCCCGATATAAGGTTGTTTATGAATCAACAATCCAGCTCTTCTCTTTGTAGTTACTCGGTGTGTGTTTTGCTGCTGTATTAAAGATGTAATCCATGGCCTGGCTCATCCAGTTCCCAAACTGATCTCTTGGCCTGCTGTCATGAAGGGTTTCCCTGTGTGTCACAAACATCACACAGTGTGCTTGTGAATCACTTGTTTAAAGCACTCAGTTGTTCTATGATTAGAAAGCTTTTAGTCACACACTGCATTGGTTTCATTTAGCGGTTGGAGTGCTGGATAAGTGCTCTGTGCCCTGTTAATATTCTGTTAACCGATTCTTGAGAGAGGAATAACAGGCTACGTATGTTCAAATATAAATGGTTATGTATTAAGGAATTCATTTGGATGAATCTCGGGGGCCAGTGAGATTTTTTTTCTTTCCAAAGAAATGATTGCTTTTATTTAGCATTGATACATTAAACTGATGTGACAGTAAATCCATTTATGAACAGTTACATCTTAATTATAAATAAATGTTGTTCCTTAGAACTTTCTATTTATCAAAGATTCCTGAAAAAATATTAAGCAGCACAACTGTTTTCAGCATTGATAAGAAATGTTTTTAAAGCACCAAATCAGCATATTAGAATTATTTGTGAAGGATCATGTGACACTAAAGACCGGAGTAATGATGCTGAAAATTCAGCTTTGCTTTCACAGAAATAAGTTAAATTTGAAAATATACTAAATTAGAACATAAAATGTTATCATGACAGAATAAGCATGATTAAAAAATGATGCACCAAATTTAGATCAGGTGGTGTTTTCTGACTTTTATTTCACTTTATTTTTCATGTCAGTCTTTTGATTCTCTGCTCAAATAAATAGTGCAAAATGCTTTTTGGTGTCAGTATATATCAGATGATCGTGACTAAGGCTTCTGTCTGACACTGTGGAGGATGGGAACAGTGAACCATTAGCAGTCAGTTTGGAAAATAAAGTAAATACACATAAATCAGTCATCAAACATCGGAAGTGAATGTATATCTGCCCAATGACCCAATACTTTTTAAATACAATAAATGTACAAGTAAAATACAACTACAGAGTGTCATAATATCCTATAATGTGTTAGTAAATTATATGTACTCATTTTAAATGAATGAAATTAACAAATAAATAACAAATTAAGACAACTTGCTGAAAATTGGTGTTTTCTGACTTTTATTTCACTTTATTTTTCATGTCAGTCTTTTGATTCTCTGCTCAAATAAATAGTGCAAAATGCTTTTTGGTGTCAGTATATATCAGATGATCGTGACTAAGGCTTCTGTCTGACACTGTGGAGGATGGGAACAGTGAACCATTAGCAGTCAGTTTGGAAAATAAAGTAAATACACATAAATCAGTCATCAAACATCTGAAGTGAATGTACAGTATATCTGCCCAATGACCCAATACTTTTTAAATACAATAAATGTACAAGAAAAATACAACTACAGTGTCATAATATCCTATAATGTGTTAGTAAATTATATGTACTCATTTTAAATGAATGAAATTAACAAATAAATAACAAATTAAGACAACTTGCTGAAAATATTCCCTCACCGCTGTTGTATATCAGTAACAAGGTTTTAATCCAGCAATATTGACTTTTAATGCAATAACTAAGGCAAATGTGCAATAAAGAATATGTTGATTCAAACAAACAGACAGTTACAATAGTAACAATACAGTCAAACGTAAGTGATACAATCGCAGACTCACGAAGGCAAATTTCATATAGTTACCAAAAATATCTTCACGTGACCAGGCTTCTGTACCTGCAATGCCTCCGATGGTGACTCGAGTTTATCCATGCCTCCATAACATACAGTATTTTGTGATGTTTTTAAGCCACAGAGGAAACCAAGGCAGAGCAACAATGTGAGAGAAACAGAGGTGTGTGGAATGGAAACACTTTCATCCATCCCTGAGGGTCTGATGGGTCTCTCATATTTTTGAGCTCCGTTGTTTGGTGAAGGCAGAGATCACCCCTGAATGCAGATCCACAGTCTGCTTTGACTTCTTAACTTGTGACACTGCCTGATCTGAAAGCCGCAGTTAGGGGTGCTCTCACTGAGGTCAGTTTGTCATACAGAGAGGCCGCGGGCAGTGGATGCTGAGTTCTTGGCTCTCTGCACCACAGCCTGACACTTTTCACGTTTCAGAAGCTTGTTGTTCTCAAACACTCCCTCATTTCGCGGAGCACCATGAGAACCATCTGGAAATGTCAGCAGCCCTATGGAAAAAATACCATATTTATTCATGCTATAAATCTTCACAAATCCTAAACCCAATGCCACATATATGAACAATAATTAAAATAAAAATACTTTTTATTATCCACCTTTTTTATAACATATAAAAATGTGTAACTTAAATGTGTGAGGCTTCCAGTTATTTCAGCTCTACAAAAACAGCCGTTATGCTGCTTTATATCGCAAACGTATTTCTTATCATGAATGCGCTGGTTTGTAGCACAAATAATTTTACCATTTGTTATTCTTCTAGTTATTTACCTACAGCGGCAAATGAATCTGAAGTCTCACACATTCACAGAAAATCTTACTTCCACATTTCAAAACAAGGTGGATATGCAAGAGCAATTCTGATTCTGACTGTACTTTTACATGCACAATTTTCCATCAATCGGAATCAATAAATGTTTTTGCCTTGATGATGTGTCTTAAAAGAAAGCTAACATATGTCATAAAAGCTTTTTTTAGCAAATATTTAGCAAATATTTAGCCACCAACAAGTTCTTAAAACGCGAGATGTAAATAAACATGTTTGTAAGATGTAAAATGCATGTAAACTTACAATTCATGGCACTACACATGTATGTTAGGTATTTTTGAATAATATAGTCCGATTCAAGCATTTGCATGCTTATTTTTTTCTGCTTATCGGTTTATTTCAGGTCTACACCAGCCTTTTCAATCAGATCAAAATTTTATTCGGATAGAGCTCAATCAGGTGTGCGTTTCCTAAAGCATCTATTTATTTTTTGGGGGCATTTTTGAGATTTTATTATGATAGGAGACAGGAAACTAAGTGAGAGAGAGAGACTGGGACGGGATTGGGAAAGGTCCTCGAGCTGGGATTCAAATGGCATGATATATCAGCACGCTGCCCACAAGGCTATTGGCGCCATAATTGCAACTATGGTCATAAGTTCCATCATTACTAATATAGTTCAATGATTCAGTGTTTCCTGAAACCATAATTCAAACGGATATTCCCAAACAGCATCACAAACTTACGTGGTTGGAACTACAGCTCTTGACCTATGGTTTAAAGCATAGTTTTTTGTTAGTATGATATATGGACTTAGATCATGCTCTTGAGTACAATTGTATGGACAATTGAGGTCATTGTACGGGAAAGTTAGACTGAAGTGTTTACATTAAGGCTTTTCAGTCCGATTAAGCCATTATTCAGATTATAAACACATCATTTGGGTGCATGTAAACTAGGGATGCACCGAAATGAAAATTCTTGGCCGGAGCCGAACAAAATTAAACACTGGGCCGAAGGCCGAATAGCGAACACGGTTTTTCACATTTGCATTAATTAAATTGCCAAAATGTGCTTTTTGCTGTTTTGTCCTGCTTTTCAAATAAAAAGTAAATTACAAAACAACAATTTAAAAATATTTTATAGCATTATAATATATCATATAATATTAACATTCTAGCAGACATTATACCAACAAAGCACAACTTAACTTAAAATTAATAAGTTAGTAAAATAATGTTTTTGGCCATTTTTGAGACCAAATCAGGCATGTATTTTTTACTGTACAAATAAAGGCAGCCTTGCTGAGCAGAAGAGACTTCTTTTAAAACATTACAATATATTACAGATCCCTATTTGAACACTATGTGTGAATGTTATAATAAATGTATTAATAGAGCTGTTGTAGGGTAATTATTATTAGGGGCCAAGCACCGAAGGTGCAGTGGCACCTATTTTATCCGTTAGCGTAATTTTTCTTCTTCCGCTGAAATTCTATGGCAGCCCATAGAACCGCTTGCGGGAAAGTTGTGAAATTTGGCACACTGATAGAGGACAGTCTCAACATTAACCACAGCAAGTTTGGAGTCTCTAACTCCAACTCTCTAGCGCCACCACTTGTCCAAA